GGGGAGGGGCAGAGAGAGGGGGAGACACAGAATCCGAAGCAGGCTCCAGGCTCCAAGCTGCCAGCACAGAGCCCGAAGCAGGACTCGAACCCATGAACTGTGAGGTCATGACCTGAGCCGAAGTCGGACGCTCAACCGACTGAGCCACCCAGGCGCCCCGAAAAATGGTTCTCATTTAAGAGTTGTTCGTTGGGAACCCTTTGTCCTGTGGGCTATCGAAGGGCTCTTCTGGGCTTACTCCCCGTTGGATCTCATTTGTGAATGCGTGTGATTCTTTGTACGCCAGGATTTATGTATTTCACAGAAATTCCAAGCACTGGCTGGACAAGGTGGTTTGGTGTTCACACTGGTGGGAGGCACACCTCCAAATTGTATTTTTCAGCTCTGAGTGAAGGAATTAAAAGCCGGCAGAGATGCGTGAGCAGGATTTGCAACTCCTTGCCAGTTAAGATCTTGTCCTTTGCAATGCTGCCTTGTACGTTGCCCGTGGAATCTGCCGTTGCTGTGGTCCAGAGGTGAGCGTTTTTGTGTGGCTTTGTGCCTTCCTCCCTGGTTGGCTGCAGATGGGGAGAATCCACCTGAGCGTCTTCCCCCGTGGCCTGGCTCCTGGTAGAGCGGGATGGAGCTCCCTGTCTGTAAGGAGCACCCCGAAAGGTGCCTCACTTCTCTCGATGAAGAGCCCCCCTCTTTTCTCGATGCTTTTCTCGTTTGCTCCCTCTTGTAGGTCTGCGCTTTTCATTTGGGGATTTTATTCATGGTGTGTCGGGAGGGCATGAGGCAGACTCTTGAATTCAGGGTATTTGTGTCACGTCTGCTTTCTTCAGATTCACGTTGGCGTTTACGGTCTTTTTAAGGGGGTTGGTCGGCATGGCCTTCCGTCCACCTTTTAGAGGCCAGACCACCCTTCAGAATCCAGCTCAGTCCTCTTGTCCTTGGTGAACCTGTCCAGATCCCTTCCCCGCTCTACTGAATTAGCCGTCTGCTCCCCGACACCTCTGCCCTGGGGTGGGGTCTGATCAGGCGTTTACAAAGCCCACCACACGGGTCCTTTTGGTGACCTGGGCGTCAGGGGTCGGGGGAGTCTACTGGGCTCGAACACAACCCTGGGCTGCCTTGGCTACGAGATTCTCTGCGTAAGCTACAGCGGGCACCTTGCCCCAAGGGGGAAGCCTGGCAAACGAGGCCCTTTTTCTTTTATTTCCATGTGTACCCCTTGAGCTTTCTGGAGCCCAGAAAGCAAGCCCAGAGTGACCTAACTTTGCTCTGGGGCTTTTACGTCTGTTTGTCTTTGGTTGACCGTCCCTAATCCACCTTCTGGGATTGATCAGATTAGAATTAGAGGAGTGCCTCTGGCGGTTTACCTGGACAAAGGGCTCGGTGGTAAGATACCCGCCTTCCGTTTTGGTTTTGTGTTTGTTTGGGCTCGTTTTCATGCGGCTACATGTGTGTGTGTGTTTTGTGTCTGTGTCTTGTTTTTATCCCTGCAGACTGGTGACGTGGCTTCCAGATATTCCTGAGGACATCCGGTGGCTACAGTGGATCACCTTGCACACGTGTTCTCGAGTGGTGACGCATCTCTTCCCCACGCGCCAGGTAGATGATTTGGTTGTGGGTGTGTGGGTCTGGCAGGCACCCCTTTCATCTGGAAGTGGGGGTGTGTGTGCCTAGTCACGTAGATTCTCGTCGGACCTCAGACTTGCCGGTCAGAAGGAGGAGGCCCGGGGATGGCACGCGGTGCAGGCTGGTGGGTGAGCTGGTCTGTGTGAGGAAACTGATGGGCTCTGTTGTGCCCGTGGGCATCCAGTGGGAAGTGTCCAGGTGGCTGGGAGGGCCACAGGCTTAGAATCCCAGGATGGTGACATCACCCCAGCATGGAAGCGTGGGGGACGCCGTGGCTTTGGACACCACCACCCGGAGGCGCCCAGAGCGTGCACGGTGGGGCGCTCAGCTTTGGCTGGTGGTGTCCCTCCATCCTCGCCGAGACTGAAGACCTGAGTTAATGTCCTTCATGTGTTTCAGACCCCAGGTACCGGCAAGCAGCCAGCGGCCTTTCCCGGGGAACATGAGGGCGTTTCTAGCCTCCTGGCGCCCTAGCGGACCTGCACACCTGTGGACGTCCAGGGGCCAAGCCACTCAGCAGCGCCACCCTCCTGTCCGGCCTGGCCTTTTGGGGCTGGGGTTGGGCAAGACCCCTACTTCCCTACCCTCCGAGGGCAGACGAGTTTCTGAGTCATTTGAGGAGACAAGTTTAGGACGTCCTCTCATAGATGCTAGGCCTTTCTGATCTTTGCCTGGGTACTTGCACGCTGGTGTCTAATGCTCCAGTGTCTGTGACGCAAGGGGTCCTGCCTCTGTGCCGAATTTACAGATTGTTGAAACCAAAAGCGATGTACCGTGTTTACGAAAAGCCAGGCTCAGGCTAAGCTACTTTAGGGTGTGTGTGTGGTGGTCGGGAGCATAAGGAAGTCTGATATGTAAGTTCCTGTGTGTGTCAGCTCATCTGGCTGGGAAATGGCAACGGGAAGCCCGGTGAGGAGGGGCGTTGCCAACTCCGTCTTGTAGCCCTCCCAGCGCAGGGTTCCTCACACAGCCGGTGTCGTGACAGGTGGTGGGAGGCTTGTGGCTGGGGGCTGGGCTGCCCATTGTGCAGTCTTGGGGGCTGCAAGGAAGAGAAACATGATCCCATCTCCCATAGAGGAGGTGGTCATTGGGGGGGTGGGGCAGCCTTCTCCAGGGAGGGCGCTGCTGGTCATGGCCATTAAAAGGCGGTAACTGACTTAAGTTTTAGAACACTTTTTTGCCCTCGCCTAAATATGTGATAAGAGTTTTGCATAAAATATACAGGAATCTTATTATCTGTTGCATCATAGGTTATGTGAATCAGTGAGGTGTTAGCAAGCCCTAGGAAAAATCCGGTGCACAGACAGGCATCCCGGGCCCCCAGGCAGGAGCCCAGCACAACAGAAGGGGCTTGTGGTCTGCGCCCCTTTTTCCTCAATGGCCCCTTCCCGCTTCTGTACCCCCAGAGCCTTAACAGAGACAAAGAGACAGGGACCTACCTTCTCCCCAGGTGTGGTTTGTCAGCAAGGACAGAGTAATGTGACTCAAGGTGAAACGTGCTGTCTCCATTTATGCATTCGAGTGGAACAGAAAAGACACCGATCAGCTCAAAATTCCTCAGCACCAGCTCACAAAGCTGCAGCCGTCACCTATGCTGTGTAAGCGTGTTGCAGCTGGAGAACCAGCCGGTTCGGACAGAGCACTTCCTTGCAAACACATCCCCTCGAAAAGAGAATGTGGTTCTAGGAACAGCCTCTGTGTGAGCCTTGAGCTGCCGGGAGATTGGGACGTCCCAGGCAGGCTCCTTGTGAACATTCGGGGCCACCGCCCAGCGCACAGAACCCCGCTTTGTGGCTCCTTGCTGGGTCCTTGTGTCTCCAGGATGCGGGCACCAAGGCTCCTGTTCTGAGAGCGCTTTGCCCCCTAAGTGAGGCAAGGGCTCGGGAGCGGTAGGTTCTCCCCGCCTCTTGAGCCCCAGAGCAAGGCACTGTCCCCCTTGCTGAGCTGGCCTGGGGGTAGGAGAGGCCGGGTCCACACCCACCTGGGCAATTTGGAACATACCCTCGCGCCTTGCCCTGAGCCCCCGATTCTCAAGTTTCCCGATCACCGCAACTGTTAACAGCTGGTAGAATGACACGCAACTTATTTTCTTACTACTTTTGGAAATGGTTCAACCTCCTGAAAATGAACACGTGTTTTATCATTTTCAGAAAATGTGTGCTAAGACAAAGAAGGATAATACTCTTTTAGAAATGGCCAAGGCTCCACTCACCACCTGTGCCTTAAATGCCACCCCACTCGCACCCGCCACAGGCCCTCACCTCTCCGGCACTGCTGAGGGTTCTTCTCGGCGCGGAAACACATTCTCAAGTTCCTACCACCTTAGCAAACGAACCCCTTCCTCCTTATATGGTACGTTTGTGCTCTGGAATTTTCCACTGTCAGCAATCATCGCTGTGTAGTCTACTGAATGCCAGGGAGCCACAGTCTTTATTTGGGGAACAGATCATGAAACTTGGTGCAGAGCATGAGCCTAGTCTTGGTCTAACCATGACAACAGCAACAACAACAACAAAAGGTGTGCATGTGGGTCTATGGAGAAAAGACTGAAAGCATCTTCACCAGAAGCACGGACGGTAGTGATCATTATGCTGTTATCTGTAATCGTAGTTTATTTGTTGCACTTGTGTTTTGCAAATTTCTATGGTAAATACTTATCACTCCCACTGGAAAAGATCTCCTAATAAACGTGATGTTGAAACGCTTTCCGTAGTGTCTGCGTCCTTTCCCTGAAGCCCTGCTTTAGTTTTCTTCCCTTGAGGCCCTTCAAATGCCCCCCCCCCAGGTTTATGGCCCCAGCCAGCCACATGGACCCTATCCTAGACACTGGCCCAGACCCTCCCCTAGAGTCCCTCTCTTTCTGGGACCCCAGACTGTCCTGAGTGCTGGGCTTGTCCCCAAGGTTCAGCCTTGCCTGCTGTACTGAGAGTTCACAGCTGCATCTGGGGGCCTCACCTTGAGGAACCCCCCCCCAGTCTCTGAGCCCACCTGGCCACCTCCACTGGCCATCCCTCGGCTACTCACCAGTATAACCCTCCAGTGCACAACTGCCCTGTGCCTGTCAGATTCCAAGTCACCTGAGCTGGGCACCAGAGACTCCTTGAACCCCTTCTCCCCCGCCCCCTCCAGCTGGTCCCAATCTTGCTGGACTATGGAACGAACCCAGCCTCTTGTCCTGAGCCTACTCACTGGAGGCCATGCCCGGCGGGTGCCGTGTGGGGCCACACGCTCCCGCGAAGCGCCAAGGCTCACCTCCCCTGACCTCGGGGGTAGCCTGGATCCAGGTCGGAGCCTGCTCCCCTCTGGCTGCCTGCCCGGATCCTAACAGTCGTGTTCCAAGCTAAGAGGTGAGTGACCTCTATGGGCATCTGTGGGGAGACCCAGTGTCCCTTCCTCATGACCTCTGAGATTTGAGGTTTCATTTTATTAAGGGAGCCAGCGTAGTCACTAAACTGCATTTCGACTACTCACGGGGCCAGATCTATACTTCGTGAACCAAGTTTCTCAAAAGCTGGTGTCCTTGCGGGTATCACTAAGGGATTTGATCAGTTAGGTTAGTCTGGGTTAGGTGGCCTTTAACAAAGATTCCCCCAGAAGGTTGATTTCTTATACTGCATACCCATCAGTCTTGGCTGGCCTAGCCTGAAACTGTCTCCCCATCTGGAGGGTCACTGATTGCAGCGACAGTGGGAAAGGAATATGGTGCTCAAACGTTGTCATCCAGAAGTGATAACTATCCCTTTGGCCTTCAACCTGTTGACCAAAGCAAGTCACATGGATGGGGGCGGGGAAATGCTACTCTACCTTTTGCCTGATGAACACTGTCACCGAGGGCTGAAGAGCCTCAAAAACCAGAACCCAAAGTCTCTATGACCCAATCAATTCAGGAAATACCGGCTTCAAGAAAGTGAGATCGAGGTACTGCAGGACTTCTCAGAGCCTTCAATATGTTAATGTGCATTCTGACTGTCAGACATAGTGTTTGAGAATAAAGCTGTCTGTGTTCCTGATGTGGCTTCTGTCACTCTGTCACCAGTGCCTTGTACACAATAGGCTCTTGAATATTTGGCTCAGGACTCAGTGCCGTCTGCAGGTCAACCTCATGGATCACCTTTCAGAAGACAATAATGAAGGAGAGAATGCAGGAAGATGTAGTTTATTCAGTGTCTGCAGTGAGCCAGGCCCCACGCTTTAGCTCATCAGATCCTCAGTATACCGCCATGCCTTTGGAACTGCTATCATCTCCATTTTCCAGATGAGGAAACAGGAACTGGCAGAATGAATTCTGAGCAAGTGTCCAGCTTGTGTGACTTGTGCTTAAAGTCTGCTCCTAGATTAGCTTTGAAAATGTCCAAGTTTTCACATCTCCAATAGCCTCTTGAGTCTGCGCTGGGGTTCAGGAGATACCAATAGACTCACTTTGGTGGTCAGGGACAGGTTTCCTGAACCCCAGGAGCGGGGTGGGTGGGTAGGGGGGAGTGTAGATGGGTAGGTCAACCTGCAAGGGGTGCTGGGAGGTTAGGACTTGGCCCTAGCAGCGCTGGCTTGGGTTTCTTCCCAGGCAAGAAGGGGAATGTGGTCTCCAGGGCCCCTGGGGACTTGGGGTGCTATTTAAATGGGAGAGGGTGTCAGGAACTCTGGGAGGGGGCGGGAGAAGAAAAGGAGCTGAAATGATACTGTTATCAGAAGGGAGAGGACACATGGTCCCTCTTCCCCCATCCCATCACTCAGCTGTTTCTCATCACTACACGTGGCTCCTATTTACGACATGGTTTTGAGGGAGGGAAGGGGGCTGCTGCCTCCACCGAGGGGCGAGGTGAAGCCCCGTGGCCATCCGGTTCTCGGCCCCTGGCCCGTGCCCGGGGGTGGGGGGTGGGGGTGGAGTCCCCCTAGCACTTATGGGCTCGGTTGAAAGGACGATTGTCGTGCACCTACGGCCCACCCAGAGCCTTGTGCTGTGCCGGGCGTTGTCACGCTCCCTGATTCCTATCCAGAGACGTGGTATGACCCTCCCCTCCCCTTTACCAAACGGGGACAGCCCTCGGGGGCTTCCGCGACTGTTAGGACCCGGGCGGCCGGCCGGAGGGGGGCAGGCGCCGACCCGGATCTGTGCTACCCCCGAGGCCAAGGGAGGCGAGCCTCGGCGGTTCGCGGGAGCGTGGGGCCCGCACAGCATTCGCCGGGCCGGGGCGCCAGGAGGACTAAGGGAGGACCCTGGCTGAAGCCCCGGCGCACCCACCAGCGGGTTTGCTCTTTCCCGGGGGCGATTCCGGACTCCCGCTGCCTGGGATCCTCACTCCGACCCGCGCCCCACGCGCCAGCAGCTACACGGGCGTCTTTGGAGGCTCCACGCTTGCGCAGTCTCCAGGCCGCGGGACTTCCCGAGGTCCGTGCGAACATCCGGGTCATGGGCTCTTAAGGACCAATGAGCGGAAAGACCGTGAGCCGGGGGGCGGGTTATCATGGCTGCCCCCAGTGCTCCCCGTCCGAGGGCTTGTAGGCGTAGTACTGACTGACGGCTCCGCCACCGCGGACCCGCCCTCTGCCCTCGCCAGCCGTGCCGCGTTCGGGTTCGGGTAGCTCTGCGAGGCGGCGGCCGGAAAGGGAGCCATGGGGACAGTGCACGCCCGGGTAAGAGGCCCAGCGACCCGCGGGCCGCGTGACCTCTGGGCAGGCACCGCGGGGAGACGCTCTCGCCGCGGCGCCCGGGGTTCCTCCCAGTTACGGGGGCGCCGGGGGCGGCGCGGCCTGCAGGCCGGGTGGAAGGAGGCCGCAAAGACCTCCGGGCAGGAGACCGGGCCTCAGAGGAGGGACGTGACTTGCCCAAGGTCGCCCAGCGAGGCAGTGGCCCCGAAAGGACTAGCGAGCTTTCCGTGGTGACCTGGAGCAGAGCAATAAGCCTTTCTCTGCACCACCTGACTTCTCTACCTTCAGCCGAGCCGGGTTACCGGTCGTCTTCCGCAGGCTCCCGCTCAGCCCCAGCCGGGGTCGCGGTGCACCCTAGAGCAAGTGTCCTTTGAAGACCTCCGGCCCAGACCCGTCTAGAAGCCTGCCTTTCTCCTGCTTAACGGTGCAGAGACAGAACCTCTCCATGCTTTGCTTACCCCTTTTAAAGTGGAGGCGGGAATAGTACTTTCCAGTTTGTTGCGAGAATTAAGACACGATAGGTGAAGGTCCTTGGTGCGTCCTACCTGCTGGCCAAACTGCTCTCCTTGGTCCTAATCTTAACTGAGGGCCAGAGAATGAGTACTTGGCCCAGGTCACACTTGTTAGAGCCTCAGAATGTTCCAAAACTCAGACCTCCCAGCCTTCAACGTTACTTTTTTTTTTTTTTCAACGTTTTTATTTATTTATTTGTGGGACAGAGAGAGACAGAGCATGAACGGGGGAGGGGCAGAGAGAGAGGGAGACACAGAATCGGAAACAGGCTCCAGGCTCCGAGCCATCAGCCCAGAGCCCGACGCGGGGCTCGAACTCACGGAGCGCGAGATCGTGACCTGGCTGAAGTCGGAGGCTTAACCGACTGCGCCACCCAGGCGCCCCTCAACGTTACTTTTATACTATGACACGGATTGTTTCACTTGTCCTGCTCAGAAGTTTCCCGTAGTTGGCCGTGAGCTTCCCCAAGTATTTCGCACAGGCCCCTCGGCTTGGCCCTGGGAGTTGGACTTCACTCGGCCTCGCAGATCACGCGTTCAAATGAAACACCGTGGCTGTGCTGACACACTCGTTGCCCTGTTCTTGCTGTTCCGCGGCTCCTGGCTCACCACCCCCCCCCGTTCCCCCCTCCTCCCCGGGACACAGTCCCATCTTCTAGAGCTCAGTTCAGGCCACTTGCTACATACACCTCCTCCTTATCTGGCCTCATTTGGACGCGCTGACTTCCTTGATATTGTTCCTGTGCCGCCCGTCTGAGCGCTTCCAGTCTAAGTTTCTAGATGTTACGACAGGAGCCGCATCTGACTTGGTTTGCATCCCTCGTAGCATCTCCAACAAAGTAAACGTTCCGCTCATTTATTACCGTAACATTTACCGGCGGTCTGCTAGGTGCCTGGCATGGCTATAGGCGCTGGCGATTCAGAAAACAACGACAAAAACCTTTGCTTTTATTGAGCTCCTTTGACGCTGACATTGCTGCTCCTTTGATTCGTGTGTTGGCAAGAAGTGTTCTTTGATTTGAGTGGCACACGCCACCGGCCAGTGTTGTTTGGACGTTTCGGTCAGGACTCGCAGTGAGAAGGCATTTTATGTTTGGCGGGTGGTGTTTACTATAAATATCAGTTTTGTTTTCTTATTTTTCTTATTTTTTAATATTTATTTTTGAGAGCGTGTGCACCGTCCGCGTGGGGGAGGGGCAGAGAGAGAGAGAGAGAGAGAGAGAGAACAAGTGGGGGAGGGGCAGAGAGAGGGAGAGAGACAATTCCAGGTAAGTTCTGCTCTGTCGGTGCAGAACCTGATACGGGGCTCGTACTCACAAACCATGAGGTCATGACCTGGGCCAGAGTTGGACACTCAACTGACTGGGCCACCCAGGTGCCTCCAAAGTTTGAAATTCTGATTAAAGGGTATAAATGGGAGTGGCAGATCTTTGGTAGACCATATTTCATGCTTTGAAATTTCAGGAACTGTAATGGAATTTTTTTTTTTTTTTTTTTTTGCATAATGGACTATGCACCTTGTGCGTATTTGCTAAGCATTCAGATCGAATAGAGTGACTACGTGCATATGTTCCTAACCATAGTATATACTCTGCAAAGTTTGCACAAGTTTAATATACTTTTTTACACTGTGTAAACTTAAATACAGGAAGCATATGTGTGAAATGGTGCAGGTAAAAAGTTACTTTTTCAATTAGTTAACATTTTGAGAAATACAGTAATGATTCAGTTTTTTGAAATATTGCACAACAGGGGCACCTGGGTGGCTCAGTCGGTTAAACGTCTGACTTCAGCTCGGGTCATGATCTCCCGTCTCGTGAGTTCAAGCCCCGCGTGCTGTGCTGACAGCTCAGAGCCTGGAGCCTGCTTGGGATCCTGTGTCTTCCTCTCTCTCTGCCCCTCCTCCTCCTCTCTCTCTCTCTCTCTCTCTCTCTCTCCCCCCCTCAAGAATAAACATTAAAAAAAGTATCGCACAACAAAAATGAAAAGATGACGATATGAAATAAATGATCTATTCTTTGTCCAGCGTGGTCTTCCCTTTTCACTCACGTAAATATCCCGCTTCAGCCACTGTGAGGCAAGGGCTCGGTCTGTCTCGTTCACGGCTACATCCCCGGCTGTTAGCCCAGTGCTCAGCAGGCGGTAACACAGACTTCCGGAACCTAGAGGTGTCCCACTACGGGAAGGGCAGGTTCTGCCCCAAGAAGCCTGGCTCATATAGATGACGTTTAAGGCAGATCGTTTTAGGGAGAAAGTTATTCTGGGCCGAGAGAACAAGGTATGCGCAGACGTGCGCGTAAGAGTCAGGGGAGTGCTGGGGGTTGAACTTGGAGGAGCAGGTGTGGGCCTTCTGGTGGCGGTCCCTCGCACGCCCTGCTGAGGAATCTCGTTGCATTCTCTATCTGCAGGCACTCTTGAGGGCCATCACAGTCTTTTAGAGCAGGAGTGGAAAAGAGGACATGCCAGGTCGTTACCTTTCCAGAGAACCGGTGACGTGTTGGAGGAAGGACGTACTGACAAGAGTCTGTCTTGTGTCTGGGAAAAGGGGATAGTGTCCCAGAGTCTCCATTGCGGCACACGCCGCAGAGTCAAACGCTTCTGTGCGCTTTGAAAGCACCTATTTGTAGAGAATTGGGGGAGCAAGAAGCAGCCAGATACTGGTTAGGACAGTGTTCCTCCAAATCTGCGAATTTGTGCATTTGCCTAGTGCCACACTGGCCCTGAATCCATACCCAGGAGGGCCTGGGTGTCCCCGTACTTAGGCAAGTCCCCATATTAAACATGTAATACTGTGTGTGTGTGTTCTTAAACATTCTATTGTATTATCATGGCCCCCTGGAAGTCCTATACCAGGCACAGCCTGTGCAATTCTTATTTCGAAGTTGCTTTAATGCTTTTGAGATGATGTCGGTTCAGATTGCAGCAAGTGACTGCTTTCTGGCACATTTTATGAACATACGCAGCTCCTTTTAATGTGTGAATGAGACTTTCAGGGTGCGGAAAAATATGTTTTAGTAACTTGGTTTGTCAACGTAGTTATCCTATCCTAGGATGTATCCAATCTGGATGAAAAAAATTAGGATAATTTCTGTAACACCAAAACAATTTGTTTTATCTTTGATAAATGCCTTTGTGGCATCTTATTTTGAACTACTTTTTTCTTGAGATGGGCCTTAGGTATACAGAACCAAACAGCCATAGTCGCATAGACCTCAGTTCATGACACAGTCATGAGTAATACACTGGCCACCAAGGGCTCACTGCCTATCCGGGGCTTGTACGTCAGCAGTACTTACGTCTGCCCTGTTCTCCCCAGCCTCCACTCAACAGAGGGAAACACAGTACTGAGCTTTCTGGAACACCATCTAAAGACAAAACTCAAAAGATTAAAAAAAAAAAATTTTTTTTTTAAGTTTATTTATTTATTTTGAGTGAGAATGAGAGGAGGGGGGCAGAGACAGAGAATCCCATGCGGGCTCCGCACCATCAGTGTGGAGCCGACGTGGGGCTCAAGCTCCTGAACTGTGAGATCGTGACCTGAGCCGAAAGCAAGAGTCAGGCACTTAGCTGACTGAGTCACCCAGACGCCCCAGAGATTTTTGTGTTTTTGTGTAAGTTTATTTAACTGTGTTTTCTCCCTCCCTTTCAGAGTTTGGAGCCTCTTCCAGCCAATGGACCTGATTTCGGGGCATTAGGAGAAGAAGCTGAGTTTGTTGAAGTTGAACCTGAGGCTAAACAGGAGATTCTCGAAAACAAAGATGTGAGTTTTTGTTGAAGTGCTTGATGAAGTCACTGCCAGAGACATTGGCTTCCATAGAGCCCCAGGGAGACAGAGGACTAACCTGTCTCAGTGCCTTCATTGAAGAAGAGTTTATAGCCAACTGTTTTAGAAAGGCTGGTGACTTTTAGAAAAATAGCTTCTGGCTTTAGAGAAATAGTTTATTTATTTTATTTATTATTATTTTTTATATATTTTATTGTCAAATTGGTTTCCATACAATACGCAGTGTTCATCCCAACAGGTGCCCTCCTCAGTGCCCATCACCCACCTTCCCCTCTCCCCCCCCCCCCCCCATCAACCCTCAGTTTGTTCTCGGTATTTAAGAGTCCCTTATCGTTTGCCTCCCTCCCTCTCTGTAACTTTTTTTACCCCCTTCTCCTCCCCCATGGTCTTCTGTTTAGTTTCTC